GACCTGAATAGATATTTTTCTAAGAAGACTTACAAATGGTCAAGTACATGAAAAGATGCTCAACATCACTGATCATCAGGGAAATGCAAATCAAACCCACAATGAGATATCACTTCACATCTGTTAGAATGGCTACTGCTGAAAAGGCAAAAGATAACAAGGATGGCAAGGATGTGGAGAAAAGAGAACCCCAGTGCATTGTTGGTGGGAATGTAAGTAGGTAAAGCCATTATGGAAGACAGAATGGAGGTTCCCCAGAAATTAGAAATAGAACTACCGAATAATCAAGCAATCCCACTTCTGGGTATATATCCAAAGGAAATGAAATCAGTATCTCGAAGAGATATCTGCACTCCCGTGTTCATTCCAGCATTATCAGCCATAGCCAAGAGATGGAAACAACCTAAATGGCTATTAACAGACTAATGGATAAGGATGGTGTGCTATTGATGTGTATATAAATATGTATATGTATGTGTGTGTGTGTGTATATATATACATACATAATGTAATATTAGCCATAAAAAACAAAGGAATTCTGTCATTTGTGCCAATGTGGGTAGACCTTTAGGGCATTATCCTAAATGAAATAAGTCATACAGAGAAAGACAAATACTGTATAATTTCACTTACATTAGAAGCTAAAAAAACAGACAAATTCATAGAACAGAGAGTAGAATGGTGGTTTCCAGAGGTTGTTGGGGGAATTGTTTACAAACTTCCAGTTATAAAATGAGTAAGTTCTGGGGATCTAATATTCATCATGGTGGCTATAGTTAATGATACTGTACTTTATAGTTGACAGTTACCAAGAGAGTAGATTTTAAATATTCTCACTACAGAAAGATTGTAATTGTGTGAGGTGATAAATGTGTTAACTAACCTTATTGTTTTAATTATTTCACAGTATATATGTGTGTCAAATACGTGATGACGTTATAAATGTCATATGTCAATTATATACCGATAAAGCTGGAAAAAAACTTCTAAAAAGTTTAAAAAATTACATAGTACCACCTATAGTTTTGCCTAAAGGATGAAATCTGAGGTTGATCACACCTCTGGATCCAGCAGCAAATTTGCAGGAAATATTGAGGATAGAGGAACAAGTTGAATTGCACCACAAGAATGCAATTGGCAAAATCCACGCTGTGGGAAATTCTGCAGGTCAAGTGGCTCATGTTTTCTTCAATAGATAAATTAAAAGGAAAAGAATGGAGAGGGAACCTGTCAATTGAAAGAACTTTAAAGCCATAATCAGATTTTTTTAAATGAGCAAGACCAAAGTATAGTATCAGGATGGATAACTTGAGTGATAAAAACATAAAGAAACATAAGGAAGTGAATACTATAAAATTCAGACAGTGGTTAGTTTTGGGGGGAGGAAGGGAGTTGTGACTGGGGTGTAATACAAGGAGGGATTTCTGGGGTGGGTGGCAAAGTTCTAAATCTTGACTTGGGTGGTGGTTAGTAGGCCATTTGAGTAATGATAGACATTGAATTTTGCATCTGTTTTATGTGGTTTTTCTGTATCTGTTTTACCTTATAATAAAAGGTTAAAATATAAAATATTTTAAATAAAATAGTGCACACTACATCTTCTTTGATGATATTCATGTTGTTTACTAGACTACTGTAAGTTCTGAGAAATTCTGCCATTAATAAACCTTGCTTTGTTTAAACCACACACACACTTGAAGCCAAATAAAAGAATGCTTAGGTTATACTGGAAGCCACTAGATAAAACATCTGATTGCTTCAAGGAGGAGTTTTATTCTTAGAGCTACTGCTTATCCTAAGTTAAGTACCTTTCTAAAAATTTTGACATTGGTTATATAACAGTTCCCTGGAGGATTATTTCAGCCACCCATGGCCCCCCTTGGAGACCTTTGTCCAGCTGGAGCTAGTTCATTCTCCCTGCTATCAGAGGTCTTATCTTGATCCTTATTAAACATAAAAGGGGGTTAAATATCTCTCTACCTGCAATAAATGTTTGGTCATTTTAAGTTTTACATCACGAGGATGTAGTGAAGATGTAAAAGATATAGACTCTGGGGCCGTCTGTGTGGTACTGTAGACAATGGTCAGGAAAGGCTGGTTGCTAAAATAGCCTGTTATATACCATGTGTGGAGAATACTGAAGACGTGCAGTACTCTTCGGTACCATCACTGTTAGTCGCTGTGAGATACAGAAATATTTTATTCGGTGAACTCCTCAGTTTCTGAACTTCAGGGGCTGTGGTGCCTCAGCTTGGCACACCGCACAGCTCCTGGATACCTTTGTGGCCTTTTATGTTTGGTAATGCTGCCCAGCTCCTTTTCTACCTGTCCTTCTCCAGAGATTCCCTGTCATCATTCCTGTGATGGTTAATTTTATGTGTCGACTTGACTTGGCCAAGGGATGCCCAGAAAGCTGGTAAAACATCATTTCTGGGTGCGTCTGTGAGCGTTTCTGGAAGAGATTAGCATTTGAATCAGTACACTGAGTAGATCAACCTCACCAGTGCGGGTGGGCATCATCCAAACCACTGAGGGTCTGCACAGAACCAAATGGCAGAGGGAGGGTGAATTCACTCTCTTTGCTTGAGCTGGGACACCCGTCCCCTCCTGACCTTGAGCGTCAGTGCTCCTGGTTATCAGGCCTTCAGACTTAGACTGGGATTCACATCATTGGTTCTCAGGCTTTCAGGTTTGGACTAGAATTATAGTACCACCTTTCCTGGGCCTCCAGCTTGCAGACTGTAGCTCATGGGACTCCTCAGCCTCCATAACTGTGGGAGCCAATTCATCATAATGAATCTCTCTGTATATATATATTTGTATAAATCCTGTTGGTTCTGTTTCTTTGGAGAACCTTGACTAATATAATTCCCTCATCCCAGGAATGCAGGGAAGTAAAATTAGCAGTGAATCCTTGTTTCAGAGACTTGAGGATAGTCAATTTTAGTAAATACTCAGTAAATATTTAGTTATATTCACTAGCAGCAAACAATTCACTTGTAAACAGGAAAAATGGTATCTAGTGATGTGTAACTTGAACAATGCATATGCTTATGTTTTTCCTTGAATTTTTTTTCTTTCCCTTAAAAAATGTATGTATTTGGGCTTCCTTGGTGGTGCGGTGGTTGAGAGTCTGCCTGCCGATGCAGGGGACACGGGTTCGAGCCCTGTTCCAGGAAGATCCCACATGCCGCAGTGCAACTCATCCTGTGCACCACAACTACCGAGCCTGTGCTCTAGAGCCCGCGAGCCACAACTACTGAGCTCACGTGCCACAACTACTGAAGCCTGCGTGCCTAGAGCCCATGCTCTGCAACAAAAGAAGCCACCGCAATGAGAAGCCTGTGCACCACAATGAAGAGTAGCCCCCGCTCGCCTCAACTAGAGAAAGCCCGCGCGCAGCAATGAAGACCCAACACAGCCAAAAAAAAAAAAAATCTATTCCTGGCTTCTGAAAAAAATAATAAAATAAAATAATGTAAATCTATTACATACAAACTTGAAAAATGAAAAAAATGTTTGTATATTCTCACCGCTGCAATATAATCATGATTATGATTTTATATATTTCTGTCTAGTCTGTTTTGGTATGAATTTTTTTCATAGTTTTGTAATAAAAACATGCATATAACTGTGATTTTCCCTTTTAAATTTAGCCTTAGGTAATTATGATATAATTATATACATATTTCCATATTGCATTGTTATCACAAGAGTAATTTTTTTACTGCATTAAACTTCATCATTTGGCTCTATCATATTTTTTAACTGTTAACCTACTTTTGGTTAGTATGTTTCCCATCACAGTTGAGCAAATATATTTTTTGTAATGTATAACATCATGCACATTTCTTTTTGGTTGTTGCTCTGAATTCTTAAAGTAGTATATTAACAGGTGTCAAGAATTTCAGTAAACTTCTATCTAATTTTTCTTTTAGCTCTAATTTTTCTTTTAGTCATCGAATCTAGCAAATCTAGTGATTGTTAAAGTAGGAGGAATATATTAATTTGCCAGCTGTTGTTCTACCCACGATCTTAATGATATATGACTTAATAAAGCCATGTAAAACTTGAGTGAGGCAGTAATCTTGTTTACATCTAGGAATTGACCACAGAATAGCAGTTGTGGACAGTTTAGAAACTCATGGTAGAAAAATGAAGATTCTTTATTTGGAGACCAGGAAAAGTAATGCAGCATTTTAGATGTGTGTAAGTATGTGCATCCTTGGGAGATGGTTCTTAGTTTTCATTGTATGTTCAAAGGAATCCAATAACTAACCACTGGTGTGAGCCCAATGTTTGTTAGTTGAATGGAATGCCATTTTTGTGAGTTTCTTTCTTTGTTGTTCCCTCTTTCCCTGCCTTCCCCTGTCTCTCTTTCCTTATTCATTATGTTCAGTACTCGAACTCAGAAAAAGGTGCTTTTTGGTGAGCAGTGATTTATCACATGAAAGTTTCTAATGACTTAAAAAATTTTTAAAAACTGAACACATGTGAAATCGTTAATCAAATACTGTGTCAATCTGTTTTGATTTGGGGAAGTTTTCCCATTTAAATCAGTAATTTAGTGTTACCTTCCTTTGTTAGAATTTTTAAAGAAAGCACGACCAGGATGCTGATCATTAAATAAATTTCTGCTATTCCTACAACGTACTATGTTTTGACAAGTCCATAATGAACTGAGTGTTGAAATCATTCATCAAATGCAGTTATCCTTTTGCTGCGTTATTTCAAAAGGTAGAGCTTTACTAACTCCATTAAAATTTGAGGCTTTCTAAGTTTTTGCACAACTAAAGCAAAGAGGCATTCTGTTAAAATAACCTTAAATAAAATTCTTTTTAGATGTTAAAAACTCTACTTCTTTAAAACATAAAATCTTAGTCATTTTTGATTACCAGATGACAGGAACAACTTCTCTTTTCTAGTGTAACAGGGCTTCTGATATGCAATGACCACCTTGTTTTTGATAAAGGACTAACCAGTATCATATTTTTTCTTAGGAATGGGCTGTTTCTGGGGAGCTGAAAGGAAATTCTGGACCCTGAAAGGAGTATATTCAACTCAAGTTGGTTATGCAGGAGGCTACACTCCCAATCCTACTTATGAGGAAGTCTGCTCAGGTAGGAAGAATTTGCTCTATCATATAAGGAACAAGGACGGACTTGTCCCTGCTGGCGGATGACAGGATCTTTAAAATGGAAATAATTTTTTTGTGTGTTTTCTCAGTCTTCTCTTGCCTGTTTCTATAAATATACTTGCTGGCCTTTCACTTCATATTTCTAGAAGATAATAGACTTCCTACGGAATGTGTCATTTAGCGTTTGTTGCAGAAAAATCACCCTGAAACTTAATTGCTAAAACGATCATTTGTTACCTTATGATTCTGTGGGTCAGCAATTTAGACTAAGCTCAGCCTGGTGGTTCTTCTGCTGGTTTCATCTGGGTTCATTCATGTGATTCCAGTCAACTGGTGGGTTGCCTGGGGGCTAGTTGGTCATTGATGGCTTCGCTCATACATCTGGCAGTTGCTGCTGGCTGTCACTTCCTCTTGCCTGGGGTAATGGGGATGATGGAACGTATGTCTTCACACACTGGCCTGGGTGAATTCATGTGATGGCGGATGCAGAGATTAGGAGCAGTAAGAGAGGGCAAGCACCATTCTGCTAGTACTTTTCAAGTCTCTGAGTCACATTCACTATTGGTCCCATTGACCAAAGCAGGTCACATGGTCTAGCCCAGAATCTGTGTGGGAGGGACTTCCCAAAGGCAGGTGTACAGGGAGATGTGAAGAAATTGGGACCATCACCACATCACTCTGTCACCTGGGACAAATATGTCATATACCAGACTTGTTTTCTTGAGGGAAAGACACTAAAAATCAGGCTATAATGAAGGGATTGTCAAACTGTGGCTTGCAGGCTAAATCCTGCCTGCTGCCTGTTTATATAAAGTTTTTTTTTTCTTTAAACACAGACATGACTATTTATTTATGTTATCTGTGAATGTTTTCATGCCACAGTTGCAGTTGAGTGGATGCATCTGAGACGGTATGGCCTGTGAAACCTAAAATGTTTATGATCTGGCCCTTTACAGAAAAATATTTGCTGACCAGGATAGGCAGTTGCCTCCATGGCAAATTCTAGCTCAATTACCAGATAACCTTTCTGGAATTTGTTTTGTTTTGTTATTTCTGGCCTTCAAGGATTTCCTTTTATCTTTCTGCCAGCTCTGGTTGCATTTAAAACACATTATTTTTCTCTTAAAATTTTTTTTTCATTTTAAATATAAAAATGGTATATATTTAAGGTGTACAGCATGACACTTTGATATACATAGTGAAACAATTACTAATAGTTAAGCTAATTAACGTACCAATCTCCTCATGTACTTTTTTTGTGTGGTGAGAGCACCTTTGATCTACTTTCTTAGCAAATTCCAAGTATACAGTACAGTATTACTAAGTACAGTCACCATGCTGTACCTTGTATCTCTACAGCTAATTCATCTTACATAGATAAACATTTGTACCCTTTGACCAACATCTCCCCATTTCCCTGCTAACCACCATTCTACCCTCTGCTTCTGTGAGTTCGATTTTTTTAGACTCCACTTACAAGTGAGACGGTGCAGTATTCTTTTTCTGTGTTTAGTTTATTTCACTTAGCATAGTGTCCTACAGGCTCACTCATGTTGTTGCAAATGGCAGAATTTCCTTCATTTTTTTAGGCTGAATAGTATTCCGTGTGTATGTGCCACATCTTCTTTATCCCTTCGTTGATGGACATTTAGGTTGTCTCATACCTTGGCTATTGTGAATTATGCTGCAGTGCACTTGGGAGCACAGCTGTCTCTTTAAGATACGATTTCACTTCCTTTGTGTGTGTACCCAGAAGAGAGGTTGCTGGATCGTATGATAGTTCTGTTTTGAATTTCTTGAGGCACATCCATACTGTAAAATACATTTTTTAAAAGAATATTTTATATACTATCTTAAGAGTTCTTAATAGGGAGAGTTTATCTAATATACAGCCCACACCACATTGACAGAAATGGGATTTTAAAAAAATATGTAAATAGTCTTATCGTTTAAAAATAAAGGTTTGCATTGGTGTTATTTGTGGAGGGCCCTCTCAGCTCTTTGAGGGCACTGCGAATGTAGGTGGTGGGGGGGGGAATTGGAGTTTGGGAGTTTGTTCGATAATGAGCGTGTCGATTTGTTTGCTACAGTATGAATTCTGATTTTGAAATGAAATTTGAACTGTGCAACAATGAAAATATCATGAAAATATACATATTCTTCTTTTTCTTGCTTCTGGAGAAGAATTGAAATAATTCTGATCGGTGTTGAGAATGTGGAATATCGAACAAATACGTTAATGGTTAATCCATTTCTTTCCTCTCCTTCTGTTTCAAAATTAAACAAATGCTTATGCAGAACTATAAATAGAGAGATTCAGATGAACCCTGGAGATTGCCCAGGTGTATCCTCTTAAATCTTAGGAATGGAGATGAATAAATTCCTTCCTGTAATTGCAGACATGACTTAATAGCCTAAGACAAAAAGTTGCTAAGAAAACCTCCAGATATCTACTGCTTATACTGTTACTGTCTACCAGCAAAATGTTAATCATCAATTAGAATATCGTGGTTGCTGGTTTGCTCAGACTCTCTTCAATTCAGTTCTTCACCGTAACAAGAACAACATGACAATTGCCCTTTGTTGAACTCCTACTATGTGCCAGACACTGTAACAAGCACTTTTTGCATCTTTGCTTTTTTCCATCTAATCTTTCAGACAGCCCCATGAAGGGCCTCAGTTTCTGCTTTTTTACAGAGGGAGTGTTGAGGCTCAGAGAGAATAAGTAACTTACCTGAGGTCATATCTCCCGATCTCATTAGCTCTCAGCTCAAAACTTATGCCATTGACTGTGGTGTAAGTCACCCAGCTGTCATCACGGCCCAGCCATTCTCCATCCACCTATTTATGCTTCCCTCCTCCACATATTCTCTTTCATGTATACTTCTGAATCTATTGGTATGCTTTTTAATGATTACTGTAAGGAAAATACCAAGCAGTTCTTTTGGGTCTTTCTGATGTTTAAAAGGAAAAAGGAAAAAACCCTTTTAAGATACAGTTCATGCAGACATCTGGTGCGTTAGAGGCCTGTAGCAACAGTGAAGTACAGAAACCACGGAGGTTGGTAAAGAACTCTCTATTTGATGTGAACACTACCTGCTAAGTTAGCGGTGGCATCCGGAAGCATGGTTGTCATGGAAACTTGTTCCTGATTGGAAAAAGATAGTTATAGGGTCTTATCCAGACTCAGAAGGAGAGATGATTTCTTTCCCCAGGCTTTTTTTTTTTGTTCTGATCATGAAAGGGAAAAACAAAAAGGCAGACAGAAGCTGTGATAGAAAGGGCTCTCTAGCACAGAAGTGGTGGAGCCTTCAGATCCCTGGGAATAGCAGGGAAGGAGAACAAACAAGGTCCCCAGCTAATTAAAGATTTTTGACCAAGGAGAGGGATGGGGGAGACAGAAAGCAGGTTATACTGGCTAGGCCTCCCTACTGGGGCCTCAGGTGCTCAAAGCCTTGTTGAACAAGTCAGCCCTGGAGGGGTCTGCCTTGCAAGAAAGAAAAACCCAGGCTCTGCTAAGATGTATAATCGTTGCTGAGGTTTCATGTGAGAGAAATACTAGTTTATGCTCCAGTATTTGCATTAATTTCCATATTGCTTACTCTTGTGTTTGCAATTAAGCTTGTAAAACTTTGGTCACAACCAGGAGTCTTTTGTAAAGGTTTTCCTTTCTTCCTTCCTTCTTGCCTTCCTTCAAGAAAAGAAGCCCAAGGACCTGGATTGTGTGGCAACTGCCTTCTCTCACAGAGCAGGACGCCTGAGCCTGAGGTGCCATTGGGTTTTTTGGGGGCAGGTGCCAGAATTATAGGGCTAGCACTCAGGAAGGGGTTCTCAAAACCCACTGGGCTAGCTTTACCACTCCCTTCTACCCTGACCGATCATCTGGGAGATGCTTCCAGAGTCAGAGCTTGTGTCAGAGCTTCCACAAGTATTGTCTTGGCGAACAGATTGGTGATCACACGCCATGGAACCAGAATCATTGGCTGAAGTTGGTCATGCCTGCTTGCTAGTGGGTATGCATGTGAATGTGAAAGCAGGTGTGTGTCCAGACAGGCTGCATATCAATGTCTGAATGGTGTTTCTGTGTGGCTACAGATGGGCCAGCGATTGGAGTTGTGCTTAGGCACGTGGAAAAGACATATGACTTCTAGTAACAGCCAGGAGAGGAGGTGGACCCCACGGTAACATTCATTAACGGCTCACCAAGGGGTCTGTTACATGCTGGGTGATCTGTGTGAGTCTAGAGCCTAACACATGTAGAAGGCCCATGGGGAAAACAGTTCCTGAAGCATTTGCAAAGTTGCCTTTTGGGAATGAAGTATAAAATAAGCCTGTAATGCATCAGAGCCAAGATAGGCAATCACTTAGAAGAGAGCTTGGCTTTTGGGTCTTTGGGACCTCAGAGTAACCTGACGGAATGCCCTGACGTATGTAAAAGGAAAAGAAGAGAACCTTAGCAGGGAGGCTGGTCAGCCAGGTCTGCCAGGCAGGCCTGGGAAAGGGGAGGTCCTGCTGCCCCCACCCCCCCGGTTGCTCCGTAAGGTTTGGCTGCTGGACAGACTCCCAGAGCCTGACACCGTGACACTTTTAAGTTCTATCACTAACTCATCTTGTTCTGATACACACTCTGTAGAAACTTCTCGTCTTTTGTCCTCCTGTGGAGGTTATTTACAGGAAGAGAATGCAAGGAGACCAGGTCAGCCAGACAGTTCTACTTCTCATTTCAAATTCAATGAAATGCTGTTCTGAGAAGTATATCTCAGTCTATTGTGAGTTTAGTCTACACAGGTCATTCTCTTCATATTCAATTAACCTTGGGTTACATTCAGTGTAGAAATGGAATTTGGCCTTCAGAGCTGAGAGTCAGAAGCCTGACTGCCATGATTTTCCAAAGTCTGCGATTGCCTCCTTGCGTTTCCCTAGAGACTCCGTGTCCCTCACATGTCCATCATTTCATTTAAACTTGTTTTAAAAGTGACCACC